CTTTATGTTTACAGACGTGACGTAATGACGCAGCAGCATGCTCGAATTTCCCGCGAAAACCTACCTGTACCACTCAAATTAGAAAACATTATTATAAGCTAACCGTTGTGAAACAGGCTAAAGTAAGGCGATAGTTTTGAACACTGGCTGGTTATGTACCTGCTCAAATATTGATTTCAGATCATTTTTAACCAAAAAAAGTTACGGACTGCAGCTTTAATGAAGATCGAAACTAAGCGTGAAAAGCCGACTTCAACTTCCCGCCAATGCAGTTAAACTGAAAGAGCGTTGAAGAACAGAGTGACTGAAGAATCAGGTTAAACAGAGAATGAATATTAAGAGGGTATTGGTGCGTTCACGCCAAATCGGAATTCCCGTACGAGATTCCAACTTGTAAAAAGCGTTCACGTCCTCGTAGAACTCCTAATTACAACCTGACCACCGCAGGCTCTGTTTAGGCGTTGATAGTGTTGCCATAGAAAAGCATAGTTCCGAGTCCGAGGACGTGAACAGCTCCGAGTAGAACGTCACGTGCTGTCATCTCGAAATTACGGAAATTACGATATGGCGTGAACGCAGGTATATCAAAAAGTGTATATTTTTTAAATGTGATTGTTGGTACATTTGACCAGTTTTTACCATACTTTCAAAACAAAAATTAAAATAGGAAAAATATGCAATATGAAAATAATTGAAGACAACATGTGTTTTACTGAGAAAAAACAAGATTTGGTTTTTAAAAAGACTTTTTCCAAAAGGTGCATCTGGAAACAGGGGGGTCGTCTTATAATCAGGGTCGTCTTATATTCGGGGCAATACGGTATATGTCGAACATCACCTGACCAAACCCGGAAAACAGGTCTCATCGCTTCTGCTTGTTAAATAATAGCGATGGACTTGCAAGATAATCAGTTAAACTAGCTAGCTGTTTTTATTGTTGTCGTTTTATTTAATTTTTATATCTAAATGTTAGTGAACAGACTAAAAATAAAAACTTTTAGATATCGCTCGTCACAAACTCCGCCCACACAGGTTCCTGCTTTCATGAAACCTCGACATGCAGGTATATAATTTACTTTAAAGACACTCTTTGTGGTCCGTAGTTTAATAAGTAAACATGATCTACGACACAAAATTATGTTTTTAGTTTTATTAAGAGTGTAATTGTAACTGTATGAGTCGCAGAAATGGTTGGTTTCACTTTCACATGTGTCAGAGAAACAATAACACAATCTAAAATTGTGTGTCTAAGACTGTATATATTTTAATGTGCAGTTGTAATCAATCAGTTGTTATGTATTGCTTTTGTAATTGTTGTATTTTGCATGCATTTTCATAAAAAATTGTGCACGTTGCTAAACAAATCTCTCAAACAGCTCTTGTTTTGTCATTAAATCAAATATTTAGTGTGTGTTAATAAGGTAAAATCAGTGTAATGTCTGACAGGATGATGAAGAGACAGCCGTCAGGAGTCAGAGAAGGTGATGATCAACTGATGACTAAAGAAAGAACAGAATATCAACATGTCCGGCAGAGAAAACAGAGGTGAGACTTTCATCTGTCAAAGGTATTAACAGCTGAATCAACATCAGAGTCAGTCATCTATTTTAAACAGCTTTAAAAGAAAATGCATTTGAAAAATGTGGACATATACAGGTTTACAGAATATCTTCAGTTGTCTGCTTAATGAATAAAAGTAAATCATGTAAAGAAGATCTGAAATTCAGTTAGAACAGCTGAAATTTATCTTTGTCCTGTTGTAAGAAGAACGAAGGACATGATTTGTTTAGTTTTACTCAATTAAAATGATCTAACCAAAAATGTACTTAAGTACAATGAAACATGGAGAATTTTTACTACGAGTATTTAAAATAAAAGTGTGTTTTTCAGGTATTTAGGGATATTTAAGCATTCATTGCCAGTCATGTTTCTGCTGATGTTTCAGGTCATGAGTGTTTGTGAAATAATATATATATATAAATATCAGCAGCCTCTTTGTTTCGCAGTTGTATGCCGTGTGTATAGTGTTCATAGTGTCCTATTTATTGTGAAAAACTATTTCTTAATGATATTAATCACACTGAAGACTGATAAAGCATGTAGCCAGAAATCATTCAACTACTAAGTACTGTACTTAATATATTTGATGAAACACTGAAAATGTTTTCTGCGTATCGAAAGGCCAGTATATATACCAGTGCAGGTGTTCTAACTCATTACGTAAAAGATTATATAACATTTAAGTTTGTTTAGGTCTCACATTTTTTGCTATTTAAAAAAAAAGCATGGAATGAAAAAGACAGCAGAAGTTCATCCTGTTGCTCTTAATACTGCTGTCTCATGGCTCTTTAATAAAGATGATTTAATTATACCTTGCCATCATATCTTACAGTTTTACACCGTTTTAGTCTCTGTCTCTAATAATGTGTGCGTGTTTGTTTACCGCGGGAACACTGCAAACTCCTTTAGAGGATCAATAAATCTGACTTTTTAAAAAAACTGTTGTCATTCATGTGTTTTGTGGTTTTGTAGTTGCTATTAGTTACTGTGTCATAGCCAGGAATGTAAGTACAATGAATGTAAGCACAAATGTAAGTGTTTTTCATTTCTACAGCTGTTGTTCACGGTTCTGCTCAGAGGAGAAGACGGAGCGAAGAAAGACCACCCAACCGTAAGTCTATAGAAGAATATTGATGACCATAATGATCAATATGCAACAAATGTGGGCAGTTTTGCTCGATCTAAAACATGAACAGAATAGAGAACGAGAGAAAAAAACGAGAAGAAGAGTTCAATGGGAGAGAAGAACGATATAAAACACTGATGAAAGACAGAGAGGAAAAGGAGAGGAAAATGCTCGAGCAGATGAAACTGGAACGAATGCAATGGGAGAAACAGAAACAAGATGAAAGACAGAAAAGAGAAGAAGAAAAAATAGAACTAGAAAAACTGAAATTTGAACTTTACAGGCAACAACAAAGTCCAGATAGAGATTACGGAATGAGTAAATTGAAATGATGGACTTATGATTCTGTCAATATAAATATTACAGTATATTTCATATTTCCACTTAGTTTTCAGTGCTGTAAAGTGTTCTGGTTAAATTCTGCATTTACAATCACTTACTACATGCAGCTCTTAAACCCAGAGGTCACTTTGATTGTTGACGGTCTGCTCCGTCTCGCAGTCAGTCAGCTTTTGTCTGATGTTCTAGCCATTGATCACATTAGTGATTTTCATTCATTCATTCATTCATCCTTCTACTCACAGTATTTGCAAACATTTCACAAGATCTATCCTGCACATTTTCTGACATTAATAGAAAGTGATATTGTTTCCTTTATCCAGTGTAAGTTAGCATAGTATGTAAAGTGCATGTTGAAGCAAAATTAGTGATTGTGTGATTTTTTTTTTCATACAGTGCAAAAAAGACAAAGAGTTCCTGTCAACATCCAGGATACTCCTGTCTCCAGTCTCTCACCCATAAGGATTGTGCTGCTGGGTCGTGGTGGTGCTGGGAAGAGTGCAGCTGGAAACACAATACTGGGACAGAAAGAGTTCAGATCTGAGATAAGTGTGACTGCAGTAACCCGTGAATGTTCAGCTGCTCACGCCACTGTTTCAGGCAGATCTGTGACTGTAGTTGATACTCCTGAATTCACTTACATCAACACTGAGCAGTCAATGACAGAGAAAAGGAGAAGTGTTTATTTATCCAGTCCTGGACCTCATGCTTTCCTCATTGTGTTTCCTCTGAATATGTGGTTCACTGAACATGAGCAGCAGATTATTCAGCAGATTGAGATGATGTTTGGTCAGGAGGTGTTAAAATACTCCATCATTCTCTTCACTTATGGAGATCAGCTGAAAGAAGAAACCATTGAGGAACTCATCGAGAAGAACTATGTTGTAAGACGTGCAGTACAGCAGTGTGGAGGCAGATTTCACGTCTTCAACAACAGAGATCAGAGTAACAGAGAGCAGGTGAATGATCTGCTGCAGAAGATTGACACAATGATCGAGCAGAACAGAGGAGGACACTACAGCAATCAGATGCTTGAAGATGATCTGAGATTCAGACGAGAGGAGAAACAAAGTCAGCGTTGTGTCTGTAGTTGATACTCATGAATGTTTCACAAAAATATGAAAGCCTGAAAGTGTTTATTTATCCAGTCCTGGACCGCGTGCGTTTCTCATTGTTTAATGGCAGGTCTGTTAGAAGAGAGCACAGAGAACCAGACTGAGGTGAACAGTAATGAGATGTCTGAAGATGCTCTGAGATGCAGATGAGAGGAAAGAAAAAACAAAGAGTAAAACTATGATAGATGAAAACACACAGACTGAATAAGTGATTGCTAAAAGAAAAGAAGCCACTAGTGATGTTTTGCGTATGCTCTTAAGCTTTTTTTCTTCTTCTGGTAAGAATCACCTAAAATAAAAGAAAGTTCGGAAATAAACCGAAATAGCAAACCAGACGATGGCTGATTCAAACTCACACCTAATGCATTTTCTACTATATCTAATGTTTCCTCAGTTAATTAAACACATTTCCCTGTAGCTCAAACAGCAGAGGATTCCAGCAACACTGAGGTCATGGGTTCAATTCCCAGTGAATCAATGCAAGAACTGATCAAATGTTCAGCTTGAATGCAATACAAGTCAATGTGGAGAAAAACAGCTACCAATGTTGTGAACAAACAAGAAACGAGTTAAAATTAAAAATGTACATGAGTAACTTGGAATGTACATTAATAGTATATGTACTTTGTAATTGATCATGGTGACCTTGTATATATGCATGCATCTTCAACTTTATTAAGTTGTCTATCATGCAGCATTACGCTTTGTTTGTGGTGCAGATTTACTCATCATTGTGTACATTATGACTCATTGGCATGGACTTCCTTACATTATAGGAGGAAATTGCATACGTATGTTCATTGCTTTGGCTCTTTTAGGTAAGTTGCCTTTTTATATCTCAAATCTCCTAAATCTTTATACAAATAGTTATTGTACTAGATCTCAATCGTATATTTGGTTGAAAGTCCTAAAGTATGCTCTGAATTTGGTGAATGTGCTTTCTCTTTCTATGCCCCTTGGACTTGGAATGACCTGCAAACTGTAGTTTAACTAGAGACGCTGCCATCCCTGAGTAGTTTTAAATGTCTTTTGCAAACTGTTTTAAAGGAATCTTGTAAGTGTTTTTCCTGATCTTATTTTGCTTAATTGCTGAGTGTGAGTATTGTGTTTTTATGTAACTTTATGTGCTGCCGTCTTGACCAGCTCTCCCTGGAAGAAGAGATTGTGAAGTCTCAATGGGATTTTCCTGGCTAAATAAAGGATAAATAAATAAATGCAATTTTATGTTTCAGTGTTGGTCTTGTTTTGAATCAATTCAGTAGCCTATTTCACTTAGAGCTATTTATTTATTGGGTTAGTATCAAACAAGAAGGTTCATAATACAGTAAGTCTTTACTTTGGGATTTTATATTTTATATTATGACTGGCTAACTGTACACATTATACATAATTTTAGATTATCTGCTGAGACATTCATTTGAATGGAACCTGTGTTTTTCTGTATTTACAGGTTTCATAAAGTAGCTGATATATGTCTGTGAGATGATTAATGAAATATGTGTCACATTAGCGGTGTTATCTTTAGAAGTTTTCTTTTATCATGCAATGGGAAACAGGCTGAATTCCCATCTAATATATATTTATAATAAAGCAGTAACTGTCATGTCTGTATTAACACCAGTCCGCCAGCAGAGGACCTCATTACTCCACTACTATACAGTCAGATTCAGCACAGTCTCATTGCACCTACCTGCTTATCAGATAAAAACTATGCAGTATAAAGATTATTATACACTCTTAGAAAAAAAAGGTTAATTGGGGTTCTATATAGAACCCATCACTGTAACCGATTTTTGTAATATGAACAGCGTTTTAATATGTACAGTAAAATATACTGTATACAGTATTTTACTGTAAACAGCAAAGGATTATGGGAAAATATACGGACACTACTGTATTTCTTCACTACTGTAAATCCATTTACAGTAGTGAAAAGTGCCCGCGAAAAACGAACATAAGGGAGATATATATATATATTTTTTTTACTGTTTGTTGGAAGTAGCGATAAAAGGACAAAAAATTAAATTTCTCTTCTTGTGATTGCCATAGTATTGATGCCAACCACTAGAATATGGAAATAAGATACATTTACTTGAGACACACAATGAATTCATAATTCCATACACATTTATTTTATTTCTTGCATCACAAGATATATAATTCCGTCGGAGAAAACTCTACAAAACATTAAAACTAGATTAATTAAACACATTATAAACTGTTATGAAAAGGTAAACAATTGTATATGAGAAACAGGTTTGTGCTATACTAAAAATGAATGACTTTATTAAGTGTAAATATTTTGTCTTATTGTTTTCTGTCACTGGATACATTGTGTGTAAAGCTCACTGGCAGGCTAACTCGTCTAACAGATGCTATAACAAATAAAAAAATTAGACTGACTTTTGACCAGAAAAATCATACATTTTATTTTAAAAAAGCAAAAAGGAATAAAATCTCAAAATTGCTTCAAATCTTTTAAATCTTATAAGCATAAAAGAGATTAAACTCTTAGTTGTTTTAGAAATGACTGAGAGAAGCTCTTTCACTCACTGATACCAGCACAGATTAATGAAGCGCACAGTAAAAATTGTTTCGAGCCTGGGTGTCTCTGTATTTGTCCACTAGGTGGAGTTGTTCCGTGGTTTGGTCTCCAGCAGAGCGTGCATCAGGAACAGATGTGGTGTGTTAACCTGTGATTGCGTTGGGGATAAAACCTTAGGAGTTGGACTGCGGTTCCGTTCATCTTTTCCTCTTCAGCCCTGGATTGTTTTCTTTCCTTTATACTTTACTTACATTTGTTGTATTATTATTAGATTGATTTCTGATTACATTTTTATGTTAACTTTACCACTATACTTGACTTTACCTTTTGTAGTGTTGCCTCACCTAGAGCCTGGTGGTTGTATATAGATATATGTCAAATGAATAAGCATAGGATACCAATAAGATATGAATGGTTTATATCACTCCACATAAATCAAAGTATGTGGAGCAGCTAAAGCAAGCTAGACAATGTAATAATATTCAGATCATATATGGATTGTTTAAAAAAAAAATTTTTTAATTGTTGTAAACTTCCCATGATCCAGCATTTTCTTAAGATTTTTAAAATATATAATAATTAACCATGTCTTGAACTTTGGGAGTCTTGATTTTTTCTTTTTTTTTTTCTTTGGGAGTCTTGACAGTAAAATAAGTTTTAATTATAATTGAGTAGCTAATCAATTTAAACTATTTGCAAATAATATTTAATTTTAAAATATGACATTCACTCTTATAAGTCAAATATGTCAAAAATGCTAAATGCATCTTGTCTCATCACATTCAATTATGAATTACATCAATAATGTACAACAAGTGAACCTCTGCTGTCTTTCCAGCGGTATTGGTTTCATTTAAGAATGACAGATTTATATGCTTCTTAGTTTTACTATGCACTGTTGCAATATTTTATTCTTTAATGTTATTTAGTTGCATCAAAAGTGGTGTGAATAGGCCTTAAGCTGCAGTCACCAAAGTCTGTATTTCAGTAATCGTATACACAAACACACACAAAGAGAGAGGCCCCAGAAAGTATTTAGACACATTTAAAAATGTATCCAGCACATAAAATGTGAACGTCCTTGAATTACATAAAAATGCCACATGATTTGACATTTTATTCATAAATACAGAACCAGCACACTTTTCAAACAAAACATTTCACAGAAGACAGATATTCATTAAGTCAGTTACTAGTTTGTAATAATGGGTAAACAAGTAAACGGACTACTGACACCATGCATAACCAGGGCTACATCCAAATATGAGAGAACCCAATGGATAAATGAATGCTTACAGTTTACAAGACACTAAACCCCATTCTCTGAACCAAATTCTCAATAGCCTAAACCAATCTGTCAAATAAATCACTCAGTCACCAAAGTCTGTATTTCAGTAATCGTATACACAAACACACACAAAGAGAGAGGCCCCAGAAAGTATTTAGACACATTTAAAAATGTATCCAGCACATAAAATGTGAACGTCCTTGAATTACATAAAAATGCCACATGATTTGACATTTTATTCATAAATACAGAACCAGCACACTTTTCAAACAAAACATTTCACAGAAGACAGATATTCATTAAGTCAGTTACTAGTTTGTAATAATGGGTAAACAAGTAAACGGACTACTGACACCATGCATAACCAGGGCTACATCCAAATATGAGAGAACCCAATGGATAAATGAATGCTTACAGTTTACAAGACACTAAACCCCATTCTCTGAACCAAATTCTCAATAGCCTAAACCAATCTGTCAAATAAATCACTCTTTCTGCAAAACCTTAAACAAGTTCAGGCAGTTTAGACACTGTTTCCAGATCTCATGCACTCTTTTTGTAAAACTCTAAACACATTCTCACTCACTAAAACACAGTTTGAACCTTCATAAACTCGTGATGCAAAACCCTAAACACAAGAAAGCAAAAAGACATAGATGAAGTCCTCTGATTCATATGTATGTATGTATATGCATGTGTATATACTATATATGTATAGATGTATATTTATTCACCAAACTTAGGTCTTTCTTTTGTTTGTGTGTGTGTGTGTGTTTTTTACAGTATTGCAAATATTTACTAACAGTTTTTTTGTAACTTCTCTATTTTCTGCTGTAGTGTCTAATGAATGATCTGTAGTGTGTATATTATTGATTCATGTGTGTGTGATTTGAAAGCTTTGTTTGAGTTTGAGTACAGTTGAAATGGTTTTGAAGCGATTGTTTGATTTTGCCAGAAGAGTCAGGGGTTCTGTGAATTTAGTTTGAAGGTTTGGGTTTGTGTTTAAGGTTTTGAGAAAATGAGTGACGGTTTCAAGAAATGTGTTTTAGCAATTCAGAAAAACTGCTATGAAAATTGGTATACTAAACTGTATAGCAAATATCATGCATATGATTTTATACAAGAGAAAAAGAATAATACTGAAGATTACTGGCAGTCAGTGAACTCTCACTAATATCTCAGACACGAAGCTTTTGTAGTTGTCTTCTGAGCTCTGGGATGTTTTCGTTAACTTGTGTCTCTTCCACCTCCTGTCTCGCAGCTCTGCATTTCTGCTTATAAAAACGCAAAAACTCATTCAAATGTGTGTCCTTCTTTTTCAGTTGCTCCTCCAACTCTTTTATTTTCTGGTCTTTTTCCTGCCCAGATTCTTTCAGTTGTTTAATGGTCTCCTCCAGTTTGGTCTTTTCTTCATTAAACGTGGCTGTTAATTGCTGTATCATCTGACTGTATTGTTTTCTAAGCTCTTCCTCTTTGTCCTTCAGCATTTCTTCCACACGCTGAAACATAGCACTGGTGTAATATTTATCCTCATTCATGAGCAACATGTTATCAACCTTATCTAGGAACTCCAAAACCTGTTTGCGATCATGAAGTTTTGTGTTGTCGAACACATGATACCGTCCACCGCATAATTTTATGAGCTGTTTCAAATCATCTTGCGCTTCATTCAGTGTCTTCTCAATGCTTTCTGTGAGTTTATCACCGTGAGTGAAGAGGATGATCGTGTGTTTATCTGCTGCTTCTCCAAATATGGCTCTGATCCTCTCCACAGAGAGCTTCTCTTCTTTTGTGAATGGTCCAGGCTTAATGACCAGGATGATGGCGTGAGGTCCAGGTGCCGTCATGTTTATACATTTACTCATCTCCTTTATGAGTTCTTTCTCTGAGAGGGACGTATCAAAGATCCCTGGACAATCCACCAGCATCAGCTGACGGTCAGCCACCTCTCCAGTCTCTTTCCAGCACTCTTTAGTAACAGATGAAGCACTTTGGGTGGCTCTGAAAGCTTTTCTGCCCAGGATGGTGTTTCCTGAAGAACTTTTACCAGCTCCAGTCTTTCCTACAAGCACCATCCTTCTCATAGACACTACACAAATTGTGTAAGAAAAAAAAAGCTGATATTTGCACTGATTTTTCTTCAGATTTTTCAAAAAGTTTACTTTTTTAAAAAAGATTTTTCTGAAATAAATTAATTCAAATGACCAGCTGATGTTTATTAAATCCATATGAATGAAGACAAACACTTTGTGTTGTGCCATGTACTTACTATTTGGATGTTTAAAATCAAAACTACCACTTCTTTTCCTCGTCTGAACATCATCAGAATCTAAAAAAGGGAAAACGTTTGAAAACACAGCCCAAATCACTGCAGGAAAAGCTTTAAAGCATTCACTTATGTTTTAGAAACTCAAGCAATTAGATTCTTTTGGTAGGCCTACTGTCTGTCTGTTCTACGGCAGAATGCAATAGGCTACTTCATGTGCTGATGATATCAGCTAAATTATATAAAACGACAAATTGTTGCTAAAAATGGCCTTTCCATGTTTCAACAGCATTTTCAAAATAATATGCCACACTCTAAAAGACGATTTAAAATGGTAAATAACAGAATTATGTTCAGATTTAGTAAACACTTCGACCAGTCCACCACGAAACGAAAGTAAAACAAATAGTAGCCTAAGCTACCAGCAAACAGATTTCGGCCAAATTTCTTAACAAATAATCTACACGTGAAAGTTACCTGTTGTCTCTGCTGTGGTAGGCCGAATTGAAGACGACATGATTCAGACTCTGTGTAAATTACAGTATCATTCCCGCAGAACGGCGAATCTTTCGGCCTCGAGCGAACAGATCGTGACGGGACTATGCCGACTCACAGAGATGTCAGATTTCGCAGTGTCATTTTGTTATGTAGGCTATTCATATAACGAATAACAACAATCTTATGTCCTCTGTCGCATCCATAAAAAAAAAATACTACTATATACAGTAAACAGAGTATACATCTAAAATACTACTCAATACAGTGCAAATAAAGACCGCCTCTCCGGCTGAAAACCCTGTTACAGCATCCGGTGACACAGATATGAGAGAAAAGTGATAACAAGCAGGAGACTCGTGAAAGCGATTCTAATGAGGGGAAATACATCTGCAGAATACGCCAGGTTTTGGTAAACTAATGCATTAAGAGACCTATGCGCAATAATCTGCACGTTATTTAGGGTAAGTTTGATCATGTATATTGTGCTAAATTACACTTTCCTGGATGGAAAAAAAATCAGTAGGCCTAGCAGCTTGCCACAGACCACTACAAGATCTAAAACAACTCAATCTGAATATTGGGGGAAATTATAAAAATATCAGAATATGTCGATTTGAGAAATTTGTGGCCGTTCAGTTAACAAGATGAAAAATCCACTGACTGAGCGACTACAGGTTGAACAGTGTTTTGTAGTCTACGTGTTTTTTTTTAATGAATCTTGTATTTATTTTCATATTATCAACACTACACAAAGCAATTTGTTATCCAGCAGCATATATTTTTGCTGTGGACACAAATAATATATCTGTTATTTATTTAATCCTTGCTGTAACATGGCAGAGACAAAATGGCACCGTGTTTTTCATTATGAAACTCAATTTTTTCTATGCACCTCCTCCTGCATGTGATCGGAAAGAAGACGCTTGTAAACAAAGCCTATTTTGGATATTGTCACGGAATGCCAGGAGAAAACAAAATTAGATCCAAGTGCAGTTTATTAAAATAACAAATAACCCAAAACAGAACAAAAACTAGGCAAAAAAGGTAAATTCAAAACACAGGGAACAGAAAACACGACGTAACTCAAATAATACGGCAGCAAAGACAGACAGTGAGAGCATGGTATAAGTAGTGATGAAATGATGAGTAAATTGCCATCGGGTGATAATGATCAGAACAAAATGACAAAGCAAAGGACTATGGGAAACGGAGTTCAAAACATGTAACAAAGAAACAGGAAGAGCGCCCTCAAGTGGCCAGTCCAGGGC